TCTTTCCACAAATGTAATCTATTTGATTCCTATGCATGCCATCAGGTGAGATCCATGTGTATAGCCTGCGTTTATGTTTCCCTGAAGGTACACACTTCAAATCTACCAGATCCTCTGCTGGAGAAGGAGGGGCAATCCCCTCCCGTGCCAGCCGGATCCAATTCGATGGTACACAACAAGGAAAAAAAGATAATTAATCCATTAACAAAATAAAATTAGTTGTATCACTTGTGTCTCTAACTTTACTGACCCTCACTTTCCTTTAAAGCAGCACACACACATATACAAGTCAATCTCATATATATTCAAATATGCTCATGGCAAACCAGGAACAGAACATTGTTTACATGGGGGAAAGAAAGGAGAATAATTATCAAATCTTTAAATTTCTCAAGAAGCTATCACAATAGATTAGGGGACATGGTCACACACTGCTTTCCCCCACACTTGGGAAGTTCAGTTGAAGTCCTAAGGGGTAGAAAGCAGAGCTTTCTGAAGGAAAATCATAATAGGTGTCACAGAGTAACCAACAAAGAGTCAGAAAAAGAACACAGTAGAGTATAAAGAGGCTGGCAAATACAGCCATAAATGCACAACCAGGAGAGGATAACATCGATGAATGGGACCTTCTGAAGATTAACTCCCTGTGTGCATAAAAAACTTTTGCCCATAGGATGAAAAGAAAATCCACTGACTAGAGGAAAAACACTTGGCAATGCATTATCAAACAAGGGTCTCATAACAAAAGTTTACAGAATCCTACAGGGCTTCCACAAAAAAAAGACTGATAACCAAATTACAAAATGGGCAAAACATATGGGAAGATTTTTTACAGAGGAAGACATTCAGATGGTCAACAAACACATGAAGAAATGCTCAAAATCACTTGGCCAAGTGCAAATCAAAACCACAATACCATTTCACCCCAGCAGCAGTGGCAAATTTTAATGGGACAGCAAGCAGAAGGTGTGAGAAGGAGAGGAAGACCCTCAATCAGAGGGTCTCTGTGAATCATACTCAAAAGCACCTAACAATAACATAGCAGGTGGACTACTCATTCTAAAAATGAAAATCAGATGTAACTCTGCTTAAAACCTTACATGGCTATATATTGAGCTTAGAATAAAGTTTAAAGCCATCTTACCCTGCTTACAAAACCATGCACCATTTGCATCTCTCCTATGTCTAACAGTTCCTTGGTCACCATGTTACTGTTACCGTGGTCCTTCTGTCCGTAAACATGAGGTTCTTTGGTGCTGTAGGCTTATAGCCTGTTCCTTCCTCTCGGAATGTTTTTCTCCCTCATCATCACAAAGATAAATCTTAGTTTAAATGTCATCTGTTCAGAAGCACTGTCCTGACTTCAAGCACTGTCCTGACTTCCCAGTTCACATCATTTGTTATTACGCCACGGGTAACTTAACCCACTGAGGATTTTAACCACTGTGATACCAGGGCTCCCAGAGTTGTTGCCACTTTCTGTTCATTCACTTCTTTCTTTTTGGTGAACCCCTCCATCCCCACCCCTCATACCCCTTATTACGCTCCAATCTCCATGATGTCTGAAGCCTCAATGCCTGGAAAATAAGTCATCCAGCACAGAAGAGGCATTTAATAAATATTAGTTGACCCAGTTATAAACCAGAAGGACCCACTAACACAGAAGTTCTGAGTATCCCACATGTCCCCCTCACCACCAGACCCTACACAGAGAGAGAGAGACAGAGAGACAGACAGACAGACAAGGGAAGGAGATAGGACAACAGGCCCATCTCATTCTTCAATATTTCAATCAATAAACACATCTGGGATTAGGGGGTGGGGCGGTGGAGTTCTCATGCCAGATCCTTGAGAAGGGAGACCTGGGATTTTTCCAGTACGACCCCAGTTTCAACATGCTGTTCCAGCACTGATTAACAATGTTTCAAATTGAAGAAGTGAATCCTGACTCAGTTCCCAAAGTATTCCCATAAAAAGTCAGTCAGACCACCATCCAGACCTTTGACTGGTTCATTCATTCGACGAACAAACATTTACCCAGTGCTTGCCCTGTGCCAAGCGCTGGGGCAAAGGATCAACAGCTGTTTCTGACCTCACAGAGCTCACAGAAGAGCAGAGAGAGAGAGAGAAACTGTTCTAAGAGGAGGCGGTGACTAATGATTTTTAACATCTGAATGATAACCTTCATGACACTCGATCTCATTTCTACATACCCAGGTTGGCTGGGCTAATGTGGTTAGTGGGAGCAACTTTCAAGGAGTTTTGAGGAAAAATTATAGCATGACTGGCCAAGGCTGGAATGAGCTTCCCGGTTCAGCAACAGCTAACCAGACGCGGAGTGCAAGACAAATATTATTGGCTGATCGGTCCCCTCCCCACAGGCCCGCACAGAGAAAGGGAGTAGGGCTACTCTCCAAGACCATCCGAAAGAACTGACTGAGGGGAAGGTCTCCCCAGGAGATCTCCTTCGTCTCCCCCACGGGCCAGGACCATGGCTGAACTCTTCCACTCTCCCCACTCAGACTTCCTCCGGGTCCTGGCTCTGCAGCCTCAGAACTCAGCGAGGAGGCGTGTCCCGTCCCCTACCACCAAGCACCCTCCATCCTGCGCACTTGCGAGGTTCAGGGCTCAGAGTTTGCAGCTCAACAGATCAGAAGCCAGATTCGTACCCCGACTCCCACCATGGCCCCCAGGGGTGTTGCGAGCTGTCCCCCGGGAGCCCGCCACACGACTCGGGCACACAAAACCCCAGACTAGCGCGGCTGCGGCGCTGTGCGCGCCAACTGGCCGGGCCGGCGCGGGAGCAGAGGGAGGAGCGCGGGGAGCGCGGCGGGAAGCGCCCCCACCCGGGCCGCGCGGGTCTCAGAGCCGAGGGGCTCGCCAGGCCTCCAGCGCCGCCCCAGTGCACTCACTCGATGAAGTAGCTGGCGCCCTCCTCCGTGAAGCCCTCTTCCCAGCCGCGGGGCAGGTCTGCGCGAACACAAGAAAAGTCAAGTCAAACTTGGGAAGCCGCGGCGCGCGCCCCCCGTCCCCCGCCACTCGGCCACAGCCACCCGCACTCACCTGAGCGGATCATGTGGCCCGAGTTGACGGGCTCCCCCGTGCGCGGGTGCAGCCAGGTTGTGCAGCGGAGCTGGTCACTGAGGAGAGAGGTGCACCTGTTAGAGCCGCCGCCGCCCGCAGCCGCCCGCGCCGGCCCTCGCGCCCCTGCGCCCCCAGCCGGCCCCCCGTGCCCGCGCCGCACTTGATGAAGAAGACGCGCCCGTCCTGGCACACGCCGTACGACCAGTGCTCAGGTAAAGTGTCCCGCTCAACCGCTGCCGCCGCCATGTTCCCGGAGCGCGGAGCCGCCGCCGCGGGAAGGGGGGGAGGAGGGGGAGGAGGGGGCGGTGCAGGCGGCGGGGTTGGCTCGCCTCCCCCGAGTCCTGGCGGCGCCCCGGGGCGCTCCATGCGCTTGGGTTCCTCGGACACCGGCCGCGGCCACGGCCTGGGGGCTGCAATCCACCGCCTCGCTGACCGGACCCGGCCCGAGCGCGAGAGCAGCGACCACGGCCTTTGTCCCCGCGCCTTCCCCGCCCCTGGCCGGCTGACCTGGGCGCGCCCTCTGCGCGCCCCTTTGCTCCCAAGACCTGAGCAGAAGCGGGGGGCCGCTCCTGGAGGTGCTGCGGCCGTCCAGGGTCCTAGGGCTACACTAGTCCAACCTGAGAAAGTACGAACACCCCAAATGCCACAATAACCACTTCTTTACCCTCCATGGAACTTCTCTTCGGAGAACAGTTTTCTCTCCTAGCCTTGCAGCCCCATAAACAGTTCGCTTTTTTTAGCCCTAAACTTTCTCCCTCAGTTTCTTCCTCTGCAGAAAAGAAAGTTAATAAATACCTCACAGGTATTGTTATGTGGATTCAGTGGTAGAAGGGGCTTAGCCAAATGTCGGCACATAAAAGTGTTTTATTAATGCCAAGTCAAGCATGATTTCATTTTCCCAATATTACAACTAGGATATGAAGCAGTAGAGTGTGGATCTGGCGCGCACGCGCACACAAACACACAACACCTGCAGGAATCGCGAGCTTTTCTCCTGACCTTCTGTCAAACAAAATGTGGGGATCAGAGAAAGACACGCTGAGGGCTATGCCCTAGTTCATCCATCTTTTTAAGAAGTCACTGGTTAGATAGGGCCCTGGCCTATTCTCTGAAAAGCTCTTCATATAGCTGAAAGCTTTCTCATACTCAAGTCTCCCAGCCTGATGCTTCTGTTCAAAGGAGACTTTTCACCTCCTTCCTTCACTCTATTCCACTACTATTTGCACTTGACTGGCATTCTTATCTCTCTGTGTGTACTTATTGTCTTATTTGTTATCTATTATTAGCATCCCCTTCCCAATGTCAGTTAGATGAGTGGAGGAATATTTCCTCTGCATCTGAATCAGTGTCTGACTCATATGGGCAGTACATGCCAATAAATGAATGAAACACACTCCACACCCAAGGTGTATCTGTGAAAAACAGCACCTATGGCAAGTACTGAGATTGTGGCTTTGTCCTGATATCTTTTGTATAACATTACTATGCTATCAGCTCAAAAATAAAAGTCATGCTCATTAATCTTTTACTTAACACTTGATGGCACTACATGAAAATTACAACTGCATCATCCTTGCTTTCACTGATAAAAATTGGTCTATAGTGGACCAAAGATAAATTTTTATTTTTTAATTTCTTTTCTTTCTACTTTCAGCAGAGCAAGATCATAGTCTACCTTGGCCTACTGATAAGAAACTTTATTGCAATCTTAAAGGCATGCAGTTCAAACTCACCAGCTGCTCCATTGGGAGAAGGATGGGCAAACTCCTCCTAAGTGATTGAATGTGTCTGAAAACCCACTGTTTTCAGCTGTGGGTCAGTTCCAACTTGACAACACACAACAAACATGGAGTCTATTTCGACTCACAGTGACTCTATAGGACAAAGTGTAACAGTTCCATATGGTTTCCAAGCTATAAATTTTTATGGAAGCAGAATCAAATGCCATCTGAATGCTTCAGCCACAGCACCACCGGAGAGAGTCTTTTACCCACCAAGAGCCAAACCCCACTAACTCCCGTCAAGCTGATTACTCTCACCCATGAAGGCTGCTGGATATGAACCATAATCAACTCAACACACACATAGCCCATTACACCGTCAGGACTCTTCTTGACCCATGTTGTTGTTGTTATGTGCCATCGAGTCGCTTGCGACTCATAGCAACCCTATGTACAAGATCTCTAAATGCTGTTCTATCCTGTGCCAACCTAGCCATCTCAAACGCACTTATTGCCACCGCTCCAGTCACAGAATCGATCCATCTCACCAAAGGTCTTCCTCTCCTTC